GTTAAACTTGAGGATTTAATGAATTTCACTCCACTTTTTTTTGGACTAAAAAGACAAGCATTAATTTTAAATGCTAATTGAGTAAAATTTAAAGCTCTAGTCTTAAATTAGTACATTTAAAATAAAGAAGACCGAGATGTTTTTAAATAACGAACAAAACTTGAAATTACAATTCATGGTTATTTAAATAGTCACTGATATAATTATATTGTAAATCCAGCAAGATAATAATAGTTTATTCGTTTTAATTAATTTGTTATACATGATGAAATTTTTGATTTATATACTTAGTTACTTAAGTTATTTATGATAGGAATTTATTATTTCGAGACAGAAATTTTTCTGGCGTCTGAAATTTGTACTGTCTGTAAAATATGAGTTAAACTTTTATCGAAAATTTTTTCGGTTTTTAACTTAACTAAAGACGTATGATAAAAGCCACCAGATAAAAGACTGTAACAAATGAGATTAATATTACGAAATATTCATAAACACGACAGTACATATTTATGATCTCATTGGGCGGATATAAGACACAATATATCATTTGGCTGGATTCATAAATTCCCGTCGCTCATATATCGCGCGCCAAGCTGTGTACATAATTGGTTTCGGACACTGCTATTTGGCATTAAGTGTAAACACATGGCCCGTCGGTTTTATGGGTTGCCGCAATATGCGGACGTTATAAGCGTAGTCATATTATAATAAGCGATTCGGTGGTGCCAGCTTATAAATGTAACCGCAGAGCAGAATTTCATTTTAGAATAAGCGGACTAACTTACTTTACAATAAACTGGGTGCTGGCTCGCTCCATTTGCGTTTGTTCTAATAGGGCTTGAGCTATTTTTAGCAGGAAATCGATGAGTACTCCTAGTTTAGGCCCTTACCTCGACCGTGATCGTGTATCGTGGGATTTAGATGTTAAGGTTGCAGTTGCTTAATCAAGGCTTCCGATTACTATCATTACATACATCAGGTCATGCTATAATTACACCATGCCACGAAACTCTGCCGTTGGGCCCCCAACATTTAGGCGTCTTATGATGGACGGAGCATCGCCGAGAGCTGTGAGCGTTATTTAGTGTGACCTATAGCTGCCCGCAGTGTTTCAGACACCGTAGGCGGCGAGAGGATTAGGATGCCGTCTTCACATGTGGCACTGTCATGGATGCTGTAATACTTTCACTGGCACAACACTATATGGCCTAAGTATTCAAACTCCTGGGTGGAGGAGGCCTCAGAAGGCTATGGTCGCATCGGGGTCTCGCAAAAAGCATCTACATCCGGTACCTATCACCGAAAACTACTATTAAAACAGGGGCAACATGGTGGATTTTTTCACCGGGACACCCACGTATCCCTACCACTCTCCCGATCGGGTAGTAGGGGAAAAACAGTCCCTCGCGAAACTGACATTTCTTCACTGAAACAAGGAACTTTGAATTTTGAAAACTGAAACACGATACTATCTTAATTTTAACATCTGATACGGAGCTGAAAGAGTAATTAATTGTTCAACTTCAGCTTGTTGTGTTTTATGTAACGTCCTTAACGAGCAGTTAGTATCCGTTTTATAAAAGCCATGTAAGTGATACCATCGTGAATGCACGTGTACCGAAGAGTATTACAATTATTGTTTCGTCGTGGTTCAGTACAATATTCAGCGGTTTTTTTAGTTAGTATTAAATTATTTGCATGGTTCATATGAAGTAAGAGGGAAATGATCGTATATATCTTAGTTGAACTACAAAGACTTGAGTTTTGTGTGTAACAGGAATGTTACCAACCGTCATATTTTTATAAGGTGCATTGCAAACACCTCATATTGTCATTCACCACGAACTGACTAGTACTTTAATACCATTCCACCTTTTATACCAGCTCAATAAAATCTGTTCACGATTGTATTGATTACACACATCGTATCAGCCGTTAAGTAAGTAATCATATAAACAAATTTATTTTTTCAACTTATACAGTAATAACAAATCACATGATCAATGTCCTACTAAACACGGCCATCTCCTCGGCTGAAGAATTTATCGTCTCAGCCAGGCGTCTCTAGGTCGGGACTCTCGGGACTCGATAGCGCCTACTACATATTCATAATTCGAGAGTGTAACTCGCACGTGGCCTGGATTGGAAATTTAGTACACGGGATACTGTGAATATGTTAAACACCTTCACGCTCCCTCATTTTAGTCCTTTATTATATAATAGTCGTGTGCCCGTAGAGCACCCCATTGAATGATGAATTTTCAAAAATTTTCCTTGAGTGCTCACTTTCTTTATATGTGGAATACCTATGTAAAATTAGATGAGCTAAGACCGAGTCTGGTTTAAGTTTTCAGTCAGTATTAATAATGTCAATATAATAATTATATATATATATTATAGCTAGAAATTAGAAACCACATAGTGAAATTGACTCTGAAGAATGTAGAGTTCATTTTAATAACTGACCGGTGACTATAACGACTCTATAGAAACGAACTACGAACGAACAGAATTGATAATTGGGAGCGCCCGATATCTCCTCTGGCTAAGTTCCCGCTATATCGAGCTTAGTAGCTTGCTGCTCTTGGGCATTGGCAATGAGCCTACTCTGGATACGTGCGGGAAACACTTTGGTGGTAGAGGAGGAACCATTCCCCCTGTCCTCTGCAACTGAGGTGGATTTGTGGGGTAAGGAAGTGCTGGTATAGTGTTTCGCCACTCTTCCTGTCCTCCGTGACTCTGTCATAAAATAGTTATGGAGCTTGGGGGCGAGAAAAGTGTTGGTGTTGAGATGCTCCCTACTCTTTCCGGTCAAAACGCGACGATTGGCAGAGCCACACACCAGGAGCATCCGTTACAAGCAGAAGAGGGGTCTTTATTTCCAAAAAAGTATTTGACGTATAAATAATAGACAATTTATTGACCATTAAGGATAGCAACACTATAAACACTGACGTTTGTAACGCAGACTTCTCAGTATAAATAACTTACTGTGATGATGTTATGACTGAATGTGGTGAGAGAGTGTTAGGACAATGTGAAGAATGAATGAATTCCAAAGGGATGAGTACAGAGATGACGGCCTCATATAGGAAAGTGTGGGCCTAGGACAGGAGGAAGAAGAAGACGAAGAAGAAGTTTGTCTCCCAGAGGGTTAGCTAAAAACTACAGATTAGACTTTTCCTCTTATTTTTACTTGCACTATATGTTTCAGTACATTGCAATTTACATAAAATCATGTAAACATAATTCACATAACATTCGTTCTACGCCATGGTATAAAATTTATGCGTTATCTTTCTTTAAATAGAAAAATTGGCCCTACCGAATGGCAATAAATGTGAAGTACTAAACATCTTGACATGTATACTATAAATAATAGTATTATAATGGAGATTACAAATAGTTTAGAAAAAACCACATCTACAAAACTTCGTAAAATTGTTATACAGGTACCAAAAAAATGTTGTACATCAAAATGTACAGGAAAGGCTATCTTAAACTTCTAAATCTTAACTTTCAAATGTCTAATTTGTAAAATTCATTAACAGATTAGTTCACCACCTGTCATGTTTGAGATTGATAAGCTCCGTCAAACGTGCTTAATAAGATCAGCATCTTTACTGTTAAAGTTTAATCATCACCACCAACTTACGATTATTGAAAATACGCATGCCACATATACAGCACCTTCCCAATATGCATTTTAATAAAGTGACATGTTCACATTCATTGGATCGTTATCAAGCGATCGAGTTGGAATGAAAAAGCGATAGCAAACGTTAGGGGCGAATTCCAATCACGTTGCGGACCCATGATGTGAAGATTCCTTTGCGACGCCTCAAAAACTAGGGGATTGGCCTCGCAATCTCGTTGTCTCCGTAATGAAGTCCTTTGAGTTATGTCCGCTTTGCATTATTTCCACTCTTTTTGTTTGTGCCTCCTTGCCGAGCTTTTCTAGACATATAATACCCTTAAAATGAGCCTGTGCGGCTTTAGAGAATATCTTTTGAATAATAAAGAGAGAAACATTGAAAATATCTGTTTGGGATTCAAATATGTCGTTCGTTATTCATGTTTTAACATCCATCAAAGAATTTTAAAATTAAATTAATTCTAAATGAAAAAATATGCTATGTAAAATGTCTTGAAAACCACTTTATAAGTTTATAAAAATAATTTTAGTAACAAAATCAAAACCGAATTGAAATATCTCATTCACAACATATTTCTTATTTGATATTGAGCAGTTCCCTGCAGTATCTCCGGAGTCCAAGTTCCGATATCAATGAAGTTAATATCAGACCACATATTGGTTAAACCGAAAGTAATGCAAATTTATGAAATTTATAAATCAATTGATTCAAAAATACAACATAAAACCGAATTGAGAAGATACTCCTTTTTGAAGTCGGTTGAAGATTTTTCGTATATTCCTCAAAACTAAAAAAATAGATTACTATATATTGATTTATTTGATATTTGTTCGCAACATAGCTGTTGAACAGGAGTGTTTTTATATAATTTACATTCCGAAATTCCAACAGAAACGAGAAAAAACACAGAGAAGCGCGGCCGTGTGCAGCTATTCTACTTAGAAAAATATTAATGTTACTTTCAACTGCCGGATAGTAAGCATTAGTTTCATGGTATATCACAAATACCTGAAATAGTAAGATTTAAATTAAATAAAAAAAATAACACAGATTGAGAACACCCGAGCGATTCACGCTCGGCCAAATAAACCAGAAGCTTTAGCCTCTTATTCAATTAAGGAATTAACGGGCACGCAACATTTGGCCGATATAAAAGGGTACACCGGCCCAAGCACAGCACAAGTGAGAAGCGACAGCCGATGTCGGACTACTCACTTCGTCATTAAAACGTGGCCAAACCAAAAAAGAAAATTCGAACGACCAATGTTACAATTCCCCACATTCTAACGAGTGCTCGTCAAGTAGAATTTCTCAATTTTACGCATCCAGAGGCGTTGCACGAAAATGGCAGCAAACTACTCCGACGACATCGGCCCTATGGCCTACCCAATGAAGCTGTAAGTATTTCATTATTTTCTCATGATTTTTTCTTGTCGTCTTCGGTAAATTACACTACAAATTAATTCGGTCCTTCTTTTATTTAACTTTAATTTTACCTGTTCAATAGCGCAATCATTTAACTTTTAAATTTTTTTTTATGAGAAAAGTTGCCAAGCGAGCAGACGGTTCACCTGATGTTAAGTGAATATCCGCACCGCCGCCCATGGACATCTGCTACACCCGAGGGTTACAGATGCGTTGACAACCTTTTGAAAATTGGGCTTTTTCATTTTCTCTTTGCCCTTTAATATTTTACCCTTTTTCATTTTCTCTTCTAGAATTTCCTTCTTTGAAACCAGATAAAGTTCATCAGTCAAAAATATTTACAACACGAGATGCCTCGAATGCCCAAGACGCGGGTTCGATTCCCACAGCGGCGACAACCTTTTCGTACTTTTTCTACATATTTTAATTTTTAACACGAGCTTTACTTACCTAGTGTTTATAGCCGTAATCACAATTTTCCGTGATTACAGGGTATCATCGGAGATCGTAGAGCACATGATGGGCTGGAACATTCCGGAGGAGCACCGTGGCATGGTCCACGAACACTGGCGCAACTTTCCAGCGGTCAACAAATATTACCACTTAGTCCTCGCGCTCATCTACACAATGCTGATGATCACATCCCTCATCGGCAACGGCATTGTCATCTGGATATTCAGCACGTAAGTATATTTACACGCTATCGATATAATCTCAAATTCATTGATCACGTAATATAACAAAAATATTTTCCTTCTATCGAATGTGGTTTCTGCTTGATGATGAAGTACGAACTCACATGTCTCATGCCCTGGTATTTTGGACAGATGTGACCAGTTATTATTCTTCAGCATAAAGGTTGTCGTGAAAATTGTGTTCGCCTCAAGTATTCAAGAAATTAATCTTGTATATAAACGCCAAATTTTCAAAAACTCATCTTTTAAAATTGTAAATGTACCGAGATTTTGCGGATTATAGCGAACAACTGTAAATTCGACAAATCTGTCATTAAGGAAAACGGCTCTCCCTCGTTTTAAATCGCCTACGGCTACCGGATGCCTGAAACACATTGATATAATGGTTTCCTTGCATCCCATATAACATTAGTAATATTAAATACGTATATCTGTTAAATGGTGTACTACAGATTCCCGTTAGCTATAGTATGAAAATACCCCTTATATGAAAAATACTTTACATTATTTGTAAGTTGACTGTATAAACTGCTAAGTCTATTTTAATTTCTTTTTAATTTAAATAAATGTCAAACTGCTGGTGTTACGGTGCACACGGATGTTAAGTGAAGACCATCGCCCATAGAAAATTTAACGTTTACCGCACTCACCATACGAAAGGTGAAAGTAAATGATTTCCACTTCATGCTGGTCTTCTGTGAAGCCGTGGTATTTTCCCGGACGAGTCTGCCCACTCCTGCAACAGCTGTTGTGTCCCCATGGCCCCATTACAGTCATTTAACAACTAATGAAATTATATATCAATATTCCAATAATTTGAATGCATATCCAAATATAAGACATGTCCTCCGCTCGTAACTAAACAAATAGTTCACTAATAAAAACTCTTAGATGCCAATCGCCCAAGTTAATGGAATCGTAGTACCTAAAGCAAAACCCGTAATTTCAGTTTCACATACGGGCAAGTGCCCGAACGTTTTCGAGCTGTTCAAAGTCCATTACGCTCGCTTAACAAATTAGGCGGATGATATTGAAGGCGCTGGAGTTAATAACCCGGAACAATCCGGGGGTCGGACGGAGTGTCTTTGCCTGCGTCACTTGGTGGCTATTTAATTAAGTCCCGCAGAGGGCTGCGACCGCGTCCCGGCAGACGGCAAGAAGCTAAGAAATTTCAAGCGGCAATATTTTGTCGTCCAGGAGTTTTGAATACATTTCACCTTAAACGACATCTATAGATGAATCATCTATACATGAATGTTATACAGTTATTATTTTCAAATACTATCTCTTGGGACACACTTTCCTAATGACTTAATAACTATTCCAAAAAAAATAATGTTTCTTCTCTACACTGCGATAATCGGAGTCCAAACGTAACTACAGTTGTCTTAGATACGTTGGACTGACCGCCGGGTGTCCGTCCGGATAACACTACACCCACAGCTAGTGTAACAACAAACACAATACTCCGAGCACGGCGAGACCAACACAACGGGTACACAAGGTACACCCGCGTTCCAGGGCGGTTCTCACCGCCCCCAGCCACCGATTAGCTAAAACACAATCGACGGCCATCGGGGTCACGGTCCGCACCGCTACTTCGATGGCCCTTAGATGACATGTCGTAGTTAAACGCACGCATGAGCACATGCGCGGCCCTACCCACAGCGGAGGGCCCAAACCCGTGGGTTCTGGCTAGCCCACCGGTTCTGCGTCAGATGAAGCTTTAATAATCTCGGGACTGAAAGCAAAAACATCAGTTAATACAAGATACAAGAACTACAGTTGCTATACTTGGTAATCGCTTCAATCAGGACATCAAAGCGGTATCCAATAATTCACAACCAGCTGCCTACTAAAACAATATTAACTTATTATAACGACAGAAATGTTTCAGAAATCCGCAACAAAACTTCAGTGTTCGGTGATAAAAAGTAACAATATTAAAATACTCAGAGATATCGAATCAATGAATATAAGGACGCACATCACTAGGAAAGTTTTCAGTGTTACCAACATTAACGCGAATTACGTACGCCTTCGACTACTTCAGGAATCGATAGCGATACTCCATTGGTCTGATGTTAAATTGTTTCTCTGTTCCGATGTGCCATCGGTACGTTTCTCATTTATCTCCGTTCCGTTGTTAACTGTCGCCGGAACGAGTGCCGTGTCATTCGACACCCCCGACGCGATATCCAATAACCAATGATCGTTCGAAACCGTAAATCTCTGAAGCGTACATGTGATAAGTTATTTCTCAATTGTTGATAAACAATTGCCTTAGAGATAAAAAGCATGTTTTTTAATAAATTCACAGAAATAAATGGCTAATGTCTTAAATTTAAAGCTTACCTCTGATTTTAAAGCTTATCGCTTCTTTATCATTTCAAATATTGCATCTATAATATTAGTGGACTATAAAATTGTGGCTGTATACACAAAAAGAAATCAAAGAAATCTAAGAATAGAATTTAATCAGTCTTAACTACAGAAATGTTTCAGAACTATTTCCGTTTAATTACATTTGACTCGGAATTTTAATATATCTCTACAGGATCGTAAAACTCGTGAACTTTAAAAGGAGTTTGCCTTTAATTCTGATCAATAGATTCTATTTGACATCGTTAACTATGTGGATGTTCATGAAATACGATTACATCTTCGCGTTTTGATTCTTATGTTTTCGTTAAATGCTAGAAATTACATGTGTAAAAAATATGGATCAATAAACTTTAACTATTTCATTCAAAGATTTTTAATATCAATAATATATATAATATGGATATGACCGACAAGGCGTGAAATTATCAGTGTTAAATCAAAATCTACGCTGAAAAAAACAATATGATCCATTCAATACTAAAAATTCAAGCAATATTTCAAAGTCAAAGTCTAAAATAAAATTAAATATCTAAAGTTCTTTATTTAATATAGGCTTGATTTAAGTTTTATGCAACGTCAAAAAAAACTACCTATCTATCAAAATCTACATAATATGTTGTATGTTGAATTATAGACTGCACTCATTACAAAGGCATAACATGAGTGAAAGATGTTCAAAAGCAATTTAGCTCTTAATTAAAAGCGAAAATAAGTTAGTCCTGACACATGTCAGTTGGCGTAATGAATTATTTATCGCAAATGTGGGTATCTCATATGCGAAATAAATTGAGCTTACAAAGTCGAGCACATTTTAATAATTAAGTGTCGCTTTTGACACGTATTCTTTATGTCGACTTCGTATTAATAAATATGTACTCTGTGGTAATAAATTAAACATAGTCTAAATTGGACGAATTTTACATGTTAAGATTTATATTCACTAGAGCTTTGAAAGTAAGTAATCGTTAATGTTTTATCCCATAATCATATATTCCTAACGACGTGCTAAGAACTCTAGTATCTCGTCGAGTACATATTTATATTTTACATAAATATAAAAAGTACATAAATAGGTGATAGATATGAAGTTCTGCTCCCAAGAAACACGTTACAAGGAAGGACAGAATTTTGCTAACAAGGAAATCCCACACGCGACTGGTCGCAAAAAACCCGGCTAATACCACTATCAACATTATTCACATATTTTGCATGAAATAAGGGCGGGAAGATGATGCTAGAAGAGATATGTACGATTGTTTATCTTTCTAAATAATCAAGAATCTCATCGACGAATTCTTTTTCAGGTCTAAATCGCTGCGAAGCGCGAGTAATATGTTCGTCATCAACCTGGCCGTGTTCGACCTGATGATGATGATCGAGATGCCGCTACTCATCATCAACTCGTTCTACCAATACCCCGTTGGGTTCCAGCTGGGCTGCGATATATACGCGGTGCTAGGTTCCATCTCGGGAATAGGCGGTGCAATCACCAATGCCGTTATCGCCTTCGACAGATACAAGTACGGGTCGATCTTCAGATTTCTCTTTTTAAGAAAAGTTACGCTTACGTAAGCTCTCTAAAATATACAATTATATTGGGAAGGCTGATATATCCACATGAGCTATGTACTGTTCCGGGATTAAAATGGCCTATATCACTTTCCGGCAATTAAACTATTCTTGTGGGTAGAATAATGTCGCTTCGATGCTGACAAACCAAGAACACATTTGTAATTTTGATGACTCCGTGGCGCAGTTGCCAAGGTATTGGCTTCGTAGGGGGTCGTGGGTTCAGCCCTGTAGTCCCGGGCACATAGAATAGGGGTAAGGTATCCCCCGCCAGTCGTAAAAAGCGACTAAAAGGGGACACGGATGTGTAGCAGCACGAAGTGGTCTCGTGCTGATGCCCATCCTTCAAAAAAAAATCCTAAAAAAGGGGGTCGTGGGTTCGATTCCCACACGGGACAACTATTTATGTGATCCACAGACAGTTGTTTCGCATCCGGGTGCTTGTCCGCGTGAAATTTATGTTTGTAAAACGTCCTTACAACACAGGATAATGATTGTCCTAAAGTAAGGGTATAAAAAAAAGAAAAAAGAGAATTATAATTTTAATAAGAATTATAATTATTCGTCTCTCTATTGGTAAAGGACAATCTCGTGCCCGCTGGATGGAAGGATAAACAAAGTGCAGGCTTCCATCCTGATTTTGTTCACCTGGCTGTGGTCGATGCCGTTCACTATCATGCCGGCGCTGCAGATTTGGGGACGATTCGTCCCAGGTAAGTGGCAAGGGACATGAAGTCAATCATTAATTCGTTAAAAAAATTGTTTTAAAAAATATATGGTTCAGTCTTTACTAGCGCTCGAGTAGATTATTTTTACGACAGCAAGAACAAGAAAGAACTAGCTTTTATTGCTAGTTGTTATTAAAAAAACAAGAATTTTTGTCCAAATGACATTTACTACAATGTACAATGCCCTTTCAATACAGTATAATATTATACATAATTATAAGATATTATAAAATATGAAAATTAACTGATTCATAAACAAAATGGAGTTAAATTTTCTTTTTAATTTCACCATCCATGGCCACGGGACACCACGCAATCGAATTCATTACTTCGTTTCTTCGAATCGTTTCATTTCCATTTTATTTTAATTCCAGACCTTTTCAAATGCTTTATCACAACTGGGGGGGAACTGTTGAAGTGTTTGTCGTCTGGGTGTCACAGTTACCCTAGCTACTATCGCTGTTTCAGTTATATCCCTACAGTCTACACAGAACCGTTTCAAACAAGTATTTAATGATATATAAGATTGAACGCGTTAGAAAAAAAAAAGTTAAATTCATTATGTGGTGTTCAATTTTTGTATTATTTATACACTAGCTTTTCGCCCGCGGCTTCGGAATTCTCGACGGTCTGTATTTGTCTGTATTTTTCCGAAAGAAAGAAAATTTTCAACTCATCAATATTTGTAACGACTTCAAACCACATGTTAAAATAATATTGTAATGTCATCTGTCATATATCTAATGTGTCACATCACTATGTACGAATTCAATTATTCTCAGAGGGCTTCCTCACCACGTGTTCCTTCGACTACTTCTCCGACGACCAGGACACGAAGGTGTTTGTCGCCGCCATCTTCGTGTGGAGCTACGCAATCCCAATGGCACTGATCTGCTACTTCTACTCTCAACTCTTTGGAGCCGTTAGTATACAAATATTAACAGTAATTAATTTAAGTCCTAATTGGGTTCATTAAAAATTTACTTCCAATCAAAAGTAGTTAAATCAATTAATACAATAGTATTAAAACAATTAATCCCTTTTAAACACACACGAATACTAAAACATTTAAACCACGAGCTCTATAGCGAAATACTATACAATCGTTACATTTATATAACAATCTGATTTTTATTGGAAGCCAGCCTCGTGTACGCGAATCTAAAGTAAATTCTATGAAAACCATTTCGCTCGACTCCCGAACCTTTTCCCTAAAAGCGCCTAAATCGTATATTAAAACGAATCGCAACGCGCCCAATAAATATTCAGCTAGATTTCGTGCTCCCGTTGGGTTTTTTCTATTGAATAATTTCCTTATTACATATTCAGGAACCTTCTTGATCGACCGCACTTCGAAATATGTAAAAAAACGTACATTGGGACTCTTTCATCTACGCTCGGTTTAAAGGGACCGTGGAATTACATTTACTTCTTATTGCCTTTTGTCTAATGATTTATTAAACGCTGAATTCGATACAACATTTAGTTCTAATAACTAACGACTTGGACATACTTATATGTGTAAAGCACACTAACGTGTGCTTTAATTAAAAAATAAGCCAAAATGGTTTATTAGTTTGAAAAATGTATAACTAACACTAGCGTTTCAGTCAATTGCAACACAATATCACCACACCACATTCAACTTACATACCAAGCGTCCTTCTTTTGTATAAGTTTTTTTTTTTTTTTTTTTTTTTATGCGAAAAGTTGTCAAACGAGCAGACGGTTCACCTGATGTTAAGTGAATACCGCCGCCCATGGACATCTGCTACACTCGAGGGTTACAGATGCGTTGACAACCTTTTGAAAATTGGGCTCCGGCTACCTCACTCACCAGACGAAACGCGAAAGTATTTGTCATACTTCCACTTTACGCTGGTCTTCTGTGAGGTCGTGGTACTTACCCGGACGGGCCTGCCCATTCGTGCAACAGCCGAGGCTGCTGCGTGGCCCTACCACCGTAAATCTTATAAGTCACGAATATCTTTTTTATACAGGTTGAAAAGTAAACCTGACATGTTACTACTAAAATACCTAAAATACCTAAATACTACAAAATATATTTATGAATTTATTTTGGCATTTCTAGGTACGCCTTCACGAGAGGATGTTGCAAGAACAGGCAAAGAAAATGAACGTCAAATCTCTGGCGAGCAACAAGGAGGATGCCAGCAAAAGCGTCGAGATCAGAATCGCTAAGGTCGCCTTCACAATCTTCTTCATGTTCGTATGCGGCTGGACTCCATACGCCATCGTCACGATGACCGGCGCTTACGGAGACAGGTGAGGAACAAACAGCCTGAAGCAAAACTTATCTGTTCCTTGCCTGTCGTCTTCCTCTTTAATCCATGAAAGTGCTTTCTAAATAAGGAAAACTCATGTTGCAATTCAATGGTACACGACCCAAGCTATTAAACCGCCAATTGATGATAAACGAACACCGTGTTGCATATAACTTTGAGATTTAATTATTTACTTTTTGATTCGCATGATAGTTGCATAGGTTGATTTTGTTCGGATCTTCCTGCTATAAATAGTGTACTTTACATCGAACAAGAAAATCTAGTCAAAATCTATGGGAAAAGTGTAATTGATTATAGAGACATTATGATCAACTATGTATTGTTTATCACATTGTTGCAATTCGAATTGTTTTGCTTTTTATTCTGCAAATTATTAACAAGATTCCCCTTCTTTATCAGGAACTTGCTGTCACCAGTTGCCACGATGATCCCGGCCGTTTGCTGCAAAATCGTATCCTGCATAGACCCATGGGTGTACGCCATCAACCACCCAAGATACAGGTTAGTAACACATAATGTTTAACATTAAGAAGATATAATTTTACAATATCTGTGTCTGCTTGATTATTAAAGCGACTATGCTTTAATTTAGTCCAATAAACTAAAATTAACATGGAATATCCCACCTTTCTCAAAACCAAAGACCATCTAAGTTGTTTTTAGTGCTCTTTTTGATTTACATCTCGATGGTGCGAGTTAAAACTCGCAAATAGCATGGGGCTGAGCTACAGAGGCGCATCGTTAACAATGCTATCATTCAGTCCACAAGAACCCAAAATTCAAATAGAATATTCAACCCATCTTGAAACCACAGACCATCTAAGTTGTTGCTAGTGCTCTATGTGACTTTAAATCTTGAGGGTGTTAGTAAAAACTCGCAAATACCGCAGGGCTGAGCTGCAGAAGCGCGTCCCCTGGCTGGGAGTCCGCGAACAAGACCCAGACGCGGTTTCGGCCACCACCAGCGTCGCCACCACCCAGTCCCACGCGCCCAACTCTGAAGCTTAAACACGACACTTGATGCAATCGAATTAATTCGCCTGTATATAACTTTACACATATTTATACTTTATACTGTATTGTTGGGTATTCATAAAATACACGCTACAAGTGTCTTGATACCGAATGTAAGTGTTGCATTGAATAGTTTTGATACTTGTACTATAAATTAACTTATTTCGAGAGGAATATTAATGCTTATAGTACTGATTTGTAATTTATTTAGTCGTTAAGTTTCTTTTACACCTTGCTGTAGATTCGATTGCATCACTTTGATATTGAACTGGTACTGTTAACGACAATGGCATGTCCGAGGATACCGAGAGCTCTTTCTTGATGAGACAAACGCAATGTACTTTTGCTTTTTTATATCAGATACACGTAGCGAAATTAATCGATGTATATAAAGTACAACGCTATTTCGTTTGATACAGGCATTTTGAGGAAAAAATTATAAAAAAATTAATCGGATCGATCCCGACGACGTTGGCGAAAACGTTTATTTGAGCAAATAAAGTGGTTCACTTAACAATGTGTTTTATTATCTTATCATAAACGAATAAAATAAACAAGCTAGTAAAACGCTTTCTCTGTCACACAATCGCTTAAATATCACATCCGCGTACCTTAGAAACTGAAGAGACGATCGTATAGAGCTTCCTTTAAATCTTCTCACTTGAAACTTGAAGTTTGAAATTTTTATAAAAACATTATGCATGAACAACATGACGTTGACATAAAAATGGTAAATAGTTAATTTATTTCATGTAGGTGTCATATATATGGGAAATTTACTTTGCACGTTTATACATTAATTAATTACACAATTTGTCATTATAGTTGATTTGACAACATTTAATTGCGTATGTCTTGACTGAAATGTTACACATAGTGTTATATATAATATAATTGAATTAATTTGCAACAGAAAAGCGACCCAAGACTATTATTCTAAACTTTAATTAAAAGATAATTAAATTTAATGGAAATTTGTAGCATGATGAGGCATAGTAATGAAGGTGTCATATAAATTATATATAGTAATAATATTATTTCCAAGCCACGTAGAAATTATTCACAGATTTACGTAGAAATTTAAATTGTTTATAGTGCTAATCTTTGCATTTAAGATTGAACATTAAAATATGTAGAAAAAGCACGAAAAGATTGTCGCCGTTGTGGCGAAAGCGAAGCACGAAAAAATTGTTGATTGTGAGACGTGGGTTCGATTCCCACAACGGCGACAATCTTTAGTGCTTTTTCTACATATTTTAAGATTTACATAGAGATTATGCAAACCACATAGAGATTATTACGAGGTTTATCTTTCAGACCTTCTCTAACAATTTAAAGAGGAACCTTCACTGAATAAATTCATTTTAAATAAAATAAAAAGTGAATAACGAATTAAAAGAGTGCCCAAACACTGCGGTAACACGTCTGTAAGTGTGTGAGGTGTGGTAAGATTTAGAAAAAGTAGAACTTAATAAGTGAGAATCTATTGAGTATGTGTTCAAATATAAGTTTTTTCAATAAAAAATCATACAAGTACTTATAGATAAAAAACTTCTTGTTTTCCTATTTCTCGAATAAGCGAAGGACAGGAAGATTCCACTTGGCAATTCTTTTAGACTCTTATTAAAATCGTTCGAAGCGAGCCACGCGAAAGGGGAACACACCTGCGCCACTTGTTTTGCAATTTTTCACAGCACAGAGATCTAGATTGGTTTAATTTTCCAATTCGAGTTCGACGCTGTTTATTCCAATTCGGAAATGTCGAACGTTGTAACACTTTTCTTTAAGACCTGCTGCGTCACAAATGTTATGGGAAAATTTCAACTATCGAACTACCACGAGATTACCCCCTATTATGAGATACACCCTGGTGACAGCGGAGTATTAGTAATAGAGTCCCGTTTTACCCTTTGGGTATGGAACCCTAAAAATGTAGAAAAGCGTGTACCGGAGCCCAGATCATAGGTCAAAAGAAAAAAAAGTGGCTAAGCAGCCTCAGATGGGACGCATTCATTAAGAAGCCTTTATCCTCTCATTACACGATATGTTTTATACATGTGGGAGACAAGCTGTCAATTGTTCAAATTTTCTGTATCTATGTTTGTATCCTAATACTTTTAAACGAGCAATTCTGGTATATCTTTGTATATATAATTCTTCTGTGCGTGTGTATGTCACTAAACTCCTCCTAAACGTGGCCCTGAAATTTATTTGTGAATGGTTTAAATTCACAATTAGATTTTTTTTATTTATAAGTTGTTGTCAGATTTGAAACGTGTGTACTGAACAAAGACTGTCGGGTCCGCTAGTATGTATATATAATGTAATCTGAATCTCGGAAACTCCAACGATTTTCATGACGTTTAATAGTCAAGGATTTCGGTTGCGATAAATCGATCTAGGTAGGTTTAATATTTAGAAAACATCGTTTTATCTGTGTCGAAAAATTGCTACAATATCATTAGAATACGAAGAAAATCGCGCGGTCCCGAAACCGTAGATGATAGCAGTTACTATAAAATAAGGTATAAAATAGCATGGTGAGATTGAATTAACGAGATTATATTATATGGATATTACGGCAACAATTTGAAAGTAGTTTTCTTTATTAATTTAAGTACTTTAGGTAAATATGTAAAAGTAAAAAAAGTAAAGTAACAGCCTATACATGTCCCACTGCTGGGCAAAGGCCTCCTCTATACAGAGGGTATCAGAGGGTCCACCACGCGGCCCCACTGCGGATTGGCGGACTTCACATATCTTCGAAAAATATTTTTTTTTTGTTATTATTTCGAAAATATGCAGGTTTCCTCACGATGTTTTCCTTCACCGCGGAGCACGTGATAAGTCAGCACTTAAAGTTAAAAACTTCATTGGTGCCGGCACCGGGGATCGAACTCAGGTTGCTCGAGTATAACGAAATAAAGGCGAGCGCCCGGACACTGAGCTATCATGTGTACATAAATATGTACACATTGTTTATTGATTTGGATCTGAAAAGCAGTTTACTCGCAAAGGCCTTTTGAGCAGTTGTCGATATGAATAGGTATGTAAATATTTTTATGCCCTTTTAATTTGATATTTGGTATTTCATAAGCTATTTACCTACTTATTATACATTATCTTATTTATATCAACGCAATTCTGGCTTTACACATATTGGTGGCGTCAGTTTAAACAACGCAATTTTCCAGCGGCACATCGAGTGCACGCCAACCAGCGCCGATCCAGCCGAACATTAATGGAGGTTTGCGTTACTTCCTGACATACATTTCGCTTATTTCCTTTTACGACACATGACAGTCGAATAGTGCAAAATAGGACCTAATAGATTATACTGATAATGAAAAATTCCCTTAAAGGGGTTGTGTCACTTTAAAATTTTTGACTATATGAACATCCATATCTGGTGATAATTTTCTCAATTACATGGAACACTTGTGATTAAGTACTTTATATATACGATACAGTTGTATAACGGCATTGACTTTAACATATTTTACATTTATTTTTTCGTTGTTGTTATTTTACTCGTTTATTGAGATTTTATTATTTTAAACCAATTAGTAAAAGTTCAAATACTTTTTGATTTCTCAATTGCTATATTAACCTTTTAATGTATCAAACAATATAAATACTTGCTTTAATCTATACAGATAAATAAAATTGGAGTGTCTGTTTGTATTATTAAAACAACCGCTTTTTACTAAATGCATATAATACGTAAACGGTACATATACCAAAATAATTTTTTTTACAATTTTTGTGTGTCTGTCTGTTTGTTCCGGCTTTTCTCTGAAACGGATGAACCGATTTGGACAGGACTTTGACTGACAGATAGCTGTTGTAATAAGGAGTAACTTAGGCTACTTTTATTTTAGTTTTTTTTTAATTATAAATTCCACGCGGACGACGTCGCGGGCACAGCTAGTATGAAATAAAATTTATTGCAACAGAAACTAAACCCAGTCGTGGTAAAAATAACTTTTCGAATGTTTTATTTGGATTAAAAATGGCGTTTTTTTTTTATTTTAAAATGTATTGCAAGTTTGCAAAACTATTATAGAAATCATTTTGCTGTTAAGGAATAGGTACATAATTATAAACGCGATGCACAGATACTTCATTTACTTTCCTCATAGTTGAATTTTCTGTAGATCCTGAAGTTGAAACCGAAGTAAACTTTGAAAGTACGCAGCCGTCTTTACAGGGATAAACTGCCAATAAACAGGCTAAAGTTAATTTGACAAGAGTTCAGCTTTAAGGGCGTTTTAATTACTTGAACAAAGGATTAGATAGCTTTGTTCTAATGGGAGAGGCCTTTTTATGATTCGATACGCAAATATTCTAATTTCTTTTATTGATACCTTAAGATTTCGAGATTTTATGAACAAGTCCAGAGATAAGCACTTAAAAATTAAAATTAACTTCATAATTTTGGTATGGATAATAAATTATAGTTTAAATCCATTTTCAAGATTTTTTTAAGTATCGTTTGTGTATCAGACTTAGCAAATGTTACCTAAGATATGTCACTTGTAAATTCTTCACATCTTGCATCGCTGTTCCTCTAACTAGTAGCATCAGTCGTCAATAGATGGTATAAGATTTTTTTCGCCCGGAAAATATATTAAACTTTCCCCATCTAGCCGTGCAATGAAAGCACATAAGAGTTTAATTTAATGCGCCAGAAACCGCTTTCTGACCGTTTCGATTCGTCCTACATGATAGTTGAAGTGTTGTTAAACCTAATTAAGAAATTGCAGTTGTAATCAAAACACATATCTATTGAACAACGGACATATTGTTTAACTCATCGTAAAATACGAATAATGTAGGCAATTTAAAAGCTCTGCCATTAAAAGCACAATTCTTGGGAGCTAGTGTTTTTAAACGAAAAAAGTCTAAGGCTTTCCTACATTCATTAGCACGTTTACCGATTCACAGGCTGTTCCTCGGTCGTAGACAGAGTTGGCGACGTCTAAACGTTT